TTAGCAGCGTAGATTTTCCGGTTGACTGCGATCCAAAGACAGATATAAGATGATAATTGAAGCCAGCGGGCGAGACTTTCTCGAAGGATAGGTAATTCGGGAGGGTAGGACTAGGTCTGGTCAGTCTTTCCCGAGCCCACGTACGGACGCGGGCGCCTACTTGAATTCCTGGTTCTCGTTGATGACCTGTATTCCACGCTCATACTGCTCTTTTGTGGGCTTCTCGCCCATGTTTGCAAAGTGGCCATTAACAGACATGATGGGAGGCGCTGTGGGGTGCCGAGTGCTGATGGAAGGGCGACGAGGTGAAGATAGGGCAGCCATGACGCAAGCAAGGATTCAAAAAGGGGTACAAGCTACCAAGGCTCCAGATTTGATGTGGCGGGCAGTGATTAGCTCAAATTGGTATTGGGAGTGTGATCAACCTTTTTTATTTTTTTGGTTGGTGTTCGCCCTCACAGCGAATAGCTCCCGGAGTGACGCCAAGCCTGTCTGCTGCTAGATTAGCGCATGTGCGATTTAACGGCCGAGGTCTGACCTCACCCATGTCACCAAGACCTTGTCGTCTGCTCACATCTCCCCATCGTCTTTACGCTATCAATTATCAACAGATTTTTGCAATATTAAGAGGATCGCATGAAAGAGCTATGGGCACACTTTCTATGTGGTATACGCCTGGTCATCATAACAAAGGCATTCATACCCACTCTGCTTACTATTCTCTGCGAGAGTGGCATGCTCAAATTTGTAGCAACCGGGCTTGGAGGAAGATACAACCTGGCAAGGGCCTTGAAGTAACAAACAAAAAAAAAGGGAAACGCCTTACCACTGTCTTAGGACACTAGCTCAATGAAACCAAAGAATTCTCTGTCAACGAGCGAAGAGCGTGGACTAAAGTCTTGTTGTCGAGCCGTAGTCGCTGAAGGAGATGAAAGTCTGGAATGCGTAGACTCTGTTTAGGAGTATCGATTGCTCTAGAAGGGGCATTTACGATCGGTGGCTGAGTCGAAAAGACACGATGTCCTGTGCTCGCCCTTGTCTTTTTCACTTCAAATTCAGAGCCAGCTCATTTCCTGTTTCTGCGGCTTGCATGACATGTGCATGTCGCATAACCTCCTTTGGGTCTACTGCATGCATTTTCCCGTCATTTCTTTGGCCACTAGCAAACAATCTTCCTTCCCTCACCATCACTTCCATTCTTCCATTCTTCCACAGAACAGAACGGTCTCTCACCGTACACTACTTTCTACTGCAGATTGTGCTCATCATGGCAGACAACTCATCAGCAAAGAGCCTGGCTGATCCTGTCCTCTTGGAGACGATCGACAAGCTGTTCCAACACAACATTGGCGAATACGTCTCTCTTCCCCAGGTAGGTATCTAGGATCATCAGGCGAGAAGCTGACTGACATTGCCATAGCTACTTGTAGTAGGTGATCAATCAAGGTACGTCAAGCAGCGGCAAGCAGCGCGTAGCAGCCAATCAGCCACTAATGATTCATACAGTGGAAAAAGCTCGGTGCTTGAAGGCCTCACAGCCCTGCCTTTCCCACGTGACAGTGGACTTTGCACCAGATTCGCCACTCACATTACATTCAGAAGGACTGCCACGACAGAGGTCTCCGTGTCAATACTTCCCAGCGCAAACGCGCACCCTGATCACGCAGAGAGACTCAAGAAGTACCAGAGAAATCTCGAAACTTTGGACCAGCCAAAATTCGCAGACGATCCAACGTTCGCAGAAATCTTACGAGAGGTGAGCCTTATCAGACCATCCCAACAATAATCACTTTCGGCTCATGCACTAAACTGCGGAAAGGTACACAAGCTCATGGGCCTCAAAGGCTTTGGAGCTCCTGATGAAAGAGCCGATACATTTTCTGACGATGTGCTGAAGATTGAGATCTGTGGCCCGAAGCAACAGCACTTGAGCGTCATTGACGTTCCGGGAATTTTCAGAAATACCACAGTAGGCGTGACCACGGACTCAGACATTGAGGTTGTCAGAAATATGGTGAATCAGTATATGAGGAACCCAAGGTCGGTCATTCTTGCAGTCATCCCAGCAAATGTCGATATTGCCACCCAAGAGATCTTGAAGATGGCGGAGAAATGTGACACAGAGGGTCAGAGAACCTTGGGGGTTTTGACCAAGCCAGATCTCGTCGATAAAGGGGCCGAGCATCGCGTCGTTGATCTTGTGGAAGGTAAGTCACATGTTACAGACCTCCGCAGAAAAGATGCCCACGGTACTGACCTTCAATAGGTCGAAGCTATAAACTCAAGCTCGGCTGGTCGATGGTCAGGAATCCTGGGCAATCGGAGCTCGAGAATCCTAGCTTTGATAGACACGCCTCGGAGAAAAATTTCTTCAAGAGCAAAGAACCCTGGGCCAGACTCCAGAAAAACCGCGTTGGCGTTGAGTCTCTTCAGGGACAGCTCCGCGACATCCTGACGGAGATGGTGAAGAAGGAGTTCCCAAATGTATGGCTTGGTCTCCAAAGATGTGGAATTCCGCAGCTGATTTTCTAGGTAAAATCCGACATCAATAGAAGACTGAATGAGCGCAAGAGACAACTGGAGTCGCTTGGGCCTTGCCGGGAAAATCGAGAACAACAGCGCGAGTATTTGCTCAACCTTGCGACCCGATTCCATAGCACAACCTCCCTTGCCTTGGCAGCCCGCTACGGGGCCGACGACCTCTTTGACAGCGTCCCGGGCCTGAAATTAGCCACAGCTGTGGCTGATCGCAATACGATCTTCGCTGACGATGTTTGGAAGAGAGGTCACACTATGACATTCAGCCAAGGTTCTGAGCTGTCCGAGGAGGGTGATCACGTCGAAGGAACCGAGGAGGATGATGACGAGGACTCCAATGAGCAATCTCACAGTGTTCGTCAAACAGGGCCCGAGCCTGAACTTGATGACATCCTACACGAGGACTGCGAAGTGCCAATGCCAAAGCCAACGGGTATCATACCGTGGCTCGATAAGGTCTACAAGAGCTCTCGGGGATTTGAGCTGGGAACGTTCGATGCGTCGCTTCTTCCTATCATTTGGAAGCAGCAGTCCGCCAATTGGGATAATCTCGCACTAGGCTACGTTAGTGATGTCGTGTCCCATGTCCACAACTTCATCCTTGCTCTAATTGCAGCTATCTGCGAGGACCAACGCGTTCAGTCGGCACTCGTGTCGGTGCTCATGGATGGTCTGATAGAACGCTATAAAAAGAGTATCGATCATGCAAACTTCATCCTCTACGTCGAGAGAAATGGCACTCCGCTAACAGAGAACCACTACTTCGCCGACAACCTCGAGAAATGGTATGTACAGAGCACGAAACCCTCAGCTACCGACACTGACATTTCAAAGCCGACAGCAACGTTTGAAGGCGCTCATGGAGAAAATGAAATTCGACGTTGAAGATCACGGCGACGTGGTGAGAGTTGACGACATCCTGCAAACTTCGACCGCAAGCAACACTGATCACACTATCCGTGACCTTCATGATATCCTCAAGTCCTATTACAAAGTGGCTCGCAAGCGCTTTGTGGACGTCGTCTGCATGCAAGCAGTGGATCACTACCTTCTTACAGGACCTACTGCGCCGGTCCGGCTGTTTTCTCCGAACTTTGTGAGTGGGTTGGAGGAGGCTCAGTTGGATCGTATCGCAGGGGAAGATGTCTCTACGAAGAGGAAGCGGGAAGAGCTGAAGCGCGAGATCGAGAACCTGAGAAATGGGAAAAAGATCCTTGTCTAGTCGAGCGAACCACTTCGGCCTACAGTTGTTCCTGACTCTGTGTACGATCAGACAGACAATACTCCTGCATACACGAGTAAACTGTCCAACTCGAAACCCGACTGATACTTTACAAGATCGCTACAAAACTGGCACGAAAAGACCAAACGCGTATAAATATGCTTCAATCAGTTCATGAAGCGCCCCTCACAATGTCTCCAAATGGAGATCACTCCTCCGCAGTATCCCTCCCTCGTCCGTCCTCATATCTCCATGGCTGTATGTCTCTTCCGATATCTCTTCCGTAGCTACTCTTCACTGTACCCTGCTCAGCAATCTTGAAGCCTCTATCACTAGAATCGGGAGACCAACCAACGCCTCTGCCCAGAAACCCCACCGTATCACACTTCCGATAAGAGCCTTCTCCACGGCGCATGATACGATTCGTTTGACTCTGAAACATGTTATGTCACCGCGGTCAAGTTCCACCGAACATTTGGCCAACACAACCTGGTGAGTTGCTAAGGTATCAATTCGATTGATGATAAAAACCTTGTTTCCGTAAAAGCCGTTCCTATGCTCAGAATATGGGGCGTTCCTTGAGATCACTGAAGGGGTTGTCTCTCTTGTTTTCGTCAGTCATCTTGGAGATTTTTGTTCTCTGAGCTTACGATACAACCATAGCTTCTCCAGCACTGCTTATTTTATGTACGTTCTCGAGTCTGAATTGACAAGGCTGAGTAGCGCCGTAGTCCTAAGTCCAAAACATAAGGCTGCCATTCATACCACGACACCATGACTCAAATCTCCTTCAAAACCTGCTGATTCAGTTTTCCAAGTTTGCAAACCCCGCATACAGTAAATCCACTCATTAGTGCTCGCAAACAGTGAGGCCATACAGAAATGACGCATGCACAAGTAGATATGTAGATATATGATTGGGCATATCCAACACTGGGGCAGCTAAGACCTTTCTGGACATGCAAATAGCCCAGAAAGGCCCCCCAGCGCTAGAAAAACTCCCATGTTTAAGCGACATGACCTGGAGTGAAAATGAAGCTATATATAGGTGTGGGTGGGAACAATTCGAATGAAGAGCCCACTACTGGTGCAGTGACCATACAAATAGTACTCGCCATGGCCACCTGTCTCCCTACTATCGCATATCGCATATTGATGGAACGGTTGATCAAACAACCACCAACGCTATGGCCTCATAATGGACCCACTAACCCACAGTCCCACTGTTGCGAACACCATCATGTACGAACACCAGATGAAAGTCGACTTAGGAGAAGAAATGTACAACACCTGCGACGCAGGCTCCCTCTCCGCCATCCTCGCATACCTCTCCAACCATAAACTCCAAAACCCCTCCTCTGATCCCCCTCTCTCAACCATAATGTACGTCGCCGCCGGCAAGGACCACTCCCTCATCGACCAACACTGTCTCGCCTCCGGCGGTAAAGTGACCAGTCAAGTCATGGACCACATCCGCAACAACCGCTCGATCAAAACCTACGACGCCATCCTCGCCGCCGAAGCCGTAGACGTCAACGACGTCATGGGGTACATGGGAGACATGCTCACCTGGTTCGCGACCGATGTTCGTCAAGCTCTGCCTATCCCATGGCGCGGACACCAATCGCAACCTCTTTGGAAACTATGAGACCGCACTGGCGATGGTAGCCGAGGAGGCTTCGGTAGCGATGGCTGTACGCTACTTGACAACCAAGCTGGAGAACAACACCGTGGACATTACCCCGCACGCCGCAATCCCTGGTAACCTCCTCCCACCAAGAGACGCATCACCTTGTCCGCTCGATGAAGACTGCGGCCCAATAGTGGTCGGTCCAACTCCGACTACCACTTCGTCCATTTCAGTTCCATCAGCCACGACATGCACAGTCCATCATGGACCGGTCCCTATTGGCACAGAATGTTTCGAGAGCGGACCTCATGCGGGACAGTGTATCACCTTCGAGTGTCTCGAATTGCCAAATGCTTGTGGTTGTCCAAACGCATCGCCGCCAGCGGCAAGCAAGGAAAAGCGAAACGAAGCTGCTTCGTCTGACTGTGAGCTTGACGGAGGATGTAGTCCAAATACTGTCGATCCTATCGTCCTAATGCCGATTTCCACGTCATCCGCATCACTTCCATCAGGCACGACATGCACAGATTATCGTGGATCAGACCCTCTTGGTTTCAAATGCTTCACGAGCGGACCTCACGCGGGACAATGTATCAACTTCTTGTATCTCGAACACCCAGATGTTTGTGGATGTCCAGCGCCAGATGTGAAAGAACGCAGCGAGGTAAACAGGCATGATCCGTGTCTCGGTCGCTGTGTTCTTCGCTCTAAAAACTCCCTGACCCATATGTGACAGACCGCACCGAGCAAACGCTAATCCGAAGGCGACAATTTCATCGGCGAGCCTACTCCCGTCTGTACTGACGAAGATCCCAGACGCGGGCAATGTTCTCAAACCACTCCACGCCGCACCGTCTTACCCACGCTCGTCAAAACATCCTGCGAATTGGACGGCTCGGGCTGTGTATGCCTTGATTGCGAGGAAGAAAAACACAACGAATCTGAAGATATTGGGGAGGTCTGCTTTGTGAACGGAACATGCGCTCCGACTATCGAATGCTTAGAGTTCCCTGATTCCTCAACATGTTTGACACCAAAGGAGAAACGTAGCGAAGCTCTTCCGATCGGCTTCATCTGCTTCGAAAACGGAACATGCACAACCTTCGAATGCCTAGATCACCCTGATTCTCCAGGCTGCGCGACAGAAAAGGAGAAGCGTAGTGAGGTAGGTTGTATCCTTTACTCATCAAGACTTCTCTACCAAAGATCGTTGCTGAACACATTTGAATCAGGACGCACAAGTTAAGCGTGACGACTCAGCCTGGCCTATGCGCGGAGGTTATGGTCCAGTCTGCGTCGAGCCCGTTTGCGAGTCCTGTCCAGATCTCCCCGAGTGTGCGGGTGTTCTCAAGCGGAGCCCACAGGAGACATGTCACCAATGTGGCCCGTCGTGATGGGCATGGCGTTTATTCGTGCAATGAACCATTGTTGAAATAAATTGAAACGGCTCAAAAAGAGTATTTTGGTAAGCATGGATGATAGCTTCGTATTTTCTTATTCAGTGCTGTACGTTGCGAGAGAAGGTAGATTGACAGGTAGCTCGTGGGGATTACACGCCCGTTCAAACACATTGGCTTTTTGTAGCTTGCAGAAGTGACACCCTCCCAGCCTGTCTTAGTTCTATTTTCAAATTTCCATGCAACTGAACGATCGGATTTTGCTTTCTTATCTAGGAAATCTGAGGACGCATTGATTCCCTGTCGGTTCCTCTACTGTCCAAGTTGCCTTCTCTCAAATAGTCCAATCAGTATCAACCACCAACAGACTCGAATCATCAACCCGATGTGCATAGACGAGATACACACTGGATGGCTCAAGCTGTCAAAGCCCGCGATGGTAGTGCTGTGAGAAGCGATTATAAAGCGAACGACGCAAGCTTGGCGTCAGGCCATGCTATGGAAATAGACATGGAGGTACGAGCTCTTACAGGCACGCATTAGAAACAATGCAATGTAATTGTTAACGACGTCTGCAACATTAATGACAGTCTTCTTCCTTTTCTCTTTCTTTAATCTTATTAGTAGCTTTCGATATGCACATCAAAGATGGAAGGATGACTCATGCGAGGTCTTCATAGAGTGGGCAAGATTGCAGTAGAGGTGAATTTCGAGGTGGTTCTAGTACCTGAGATGCTATTACATGTAGAAAATCAAAAACCACTACACCATTGTACCAGCGCCAATAGAAATTGAACCTATTACGAATTAAATACCCTCTAACCTCATGTTCGATTGTTCGTGCCAACAAAAATAGCAGAAGAGCACAGGAAGGAAGCGCATATGAAATCCCTGGGCTTTTCACCTCAGCTACCCGGCGCCTTGACCGCTTCATTCTCAGAAGGTTACGACAGCACTGTTGCTTGTCACGACCGGCGCTACGACTCCAACATTCACCCAGACATTTGGGTACTCAATCCAATATGTTCAAGAAGAAGCCAAATGTACCTGATGTCCTGACCCTTCCACGCTCCGTTGCTAAGCCCTCGCACAGATCAAGCCCCTTGCCCCTCTTCGCTCCTCGGACAGACGCAAAATAGCAGACCAGATAATCAGAGACTTCGACATAGAGGTGCCTGGCAATGTTGAAGAGCCATTAGACAAGATTCACGAGGCATCACCTGCCTTGAGCTTGGGTAGCCTACGCAACTCTCTAATGCCGGAGAACGCCCTTTCAGCCAGGTTCAGCACGACGGCAGGACCTGATTTGAAGCAGGTTTCTGGGACGGTTTACGCTGGGACACACCCGGGAGAGGAGCAACGCATACTGTGGTTCAAAATTGAAGAGAGGCTCATCCCGACTGGTAAGCCCTAAAGTCGTCGACCTTGGATCAAAGGTAACTGTGTGATTGGCAGTCTACACACTGTGGCGGCATCCACAACTGGTACCTCTCCTCTACACGCCTGAGATTGTCTTGAAAAAGCTACGCAGCGGTGCTCCTCTTATGACGCCAGGCTTGGCTCGCGGACCGCCGTTCCCGTCCAAAGCAATTAAGGACTCGATTGTCGCCATCGCCAGCCTCGACAAGCCCAGCGTGCCTATGGTCGTGGGGATCTGCGAGATCGATGTTGCTTCTCTGCAAGAGGTGAAAGGCGCCAAAGGACATGCTGTCCGAGGGGAGCACTGGGATGGGGATGAGATCTGGGCATGGAGCCCAGCAGGCAAGCCTGGAGGAAGCGCCCCGGAACGCATTGAAGGGTGGGATGTGGATACTACTGATGCAAGCTTGAGGGGAGGCGTGGAGCACTTGACCATTGAGGACGACGACGATGATGATGATGCTGAGGGGGGAGTATCTCTCAATCAGGAGCCCGAGCAGCACACGAGACTCGGATCGCGGAATGACTTTGTCGAAGGTGAAGACGCTAGGCCATATGAGGTAGTGGGAGAGGAGGACAAGGAGTTATCAACTAAAGGCACGATGCCAATTTAACGAGCCTGGAAAAGTCCCAATGCTTACAGATCTCAGACATCGATGACGCTTTCTGGAAGGCCTTCATATACGGTGTCCACCACCACCGAAACACCCATAAGAGCGATCCACGTCAAGGCTTGAACTTCCCAATTAACCAGTCACTGGTCATCTCCAACTTCGTCCTGCCATACTTACCAATCTACTCGCCTGCCCAGGCGGCATCCCTACACATCAAGAAGACAAGCTGGAAGAACGCGAAAAAATTCATCAAGGCTCTGGACAAGCAGAAGCTTCTCAAGTCCAAAGACCGTGATGGAGGCGAATGCGTTGTTCTGGACATTGCCTTTGATGACGAAATCTTTACTAGTTTCAAGCCTTACAAGTTGCCAACGAAAGACACGCCTGGTGCAGAGTCTGGCGGAGGTGGTGGAGGCAAAAGTATCGCAGCAGGCGACTCTCCGAGTGACGACTCAATTGGGCAAAAGCTCCAAAAGATCAACCTATTCAGACCCAAGGAGGCGTTCTCGCCAGTCTTCGAAGCATCCAGTGCCAGTGTCAAAGCGCTCTATCTGCCCACAGAAATACGCCCGATAATTGCATCCTACATAGAATCTGAAAATCTGATATCAGACAAGAACAAGCGCTTGGTGAACCTCAACCCTATTCTAGCAAACGCAGTCTTTGACGGCAATTCCTCCCTAGACCGCGAAGTCATCGCCAAAGGCAGCGTACCTCGTGACGCTCTCATCGACCGTATGTTGCAAGCCTGCTCGCCGTTCTGGGTCATCCTTCGAAACAACGAAACAAGGGAGACGGTCAAAGCCAAGTCAGGAAATGCTCCCAAAATCCAAATCACGCTTGAGACGCGTTCCGGTAACAAGACCGTGACCAAGCTATCTGGTGTAGAGGTTTTCCACATCAACCCGCAACCTCTGGCCGAGGAATTGCAGAAAGCTTGTGCGAGCTCCACGAGCGTTGGCCAATTAATGGGCAGCAGCCCAAAGAAACCGGTACAGGAGATCATGGTTCAGGGCCCGCAGAAAGATGCCGTGGTGAAGGCCTTAGAAAAGAGAGGCGTGAATAGGCATTGGATTGAGGTCTTGGATAAAACGAAGGGGAAGAAGAAATAAGAGACAGCATAGTAAAACCCTCATGTTGGGGGCTGCCGGACTGAGGACGAAGCAGAAGATGAAGAAAAGTTAAACACAAGGTTCGATAGAATTCTCCATATCTATGAAACCTATCTGGTGCACTGCATGTGCTTGCCAACGGCTTCTCCACGCCCGCCCATAAAATTAAACTCCAGTAAGCCATATCAATGAACATACTAGCGACCACAAAGGCAACGGGAAAAATTCGGCATAAAATCCGCCCCCAGTGTTCAAACCGTCTCGCTCACGAATATGTAATGCACCTTAGTGTTAATCAACTCAGGCGCCGCCGTCATCTGTGAGCACGATATTCTTGGACAGCCGGGCAGCAAGATGGCCCGTGGTTGCTGGTGCGTTCGTAGTCTATGAGATCAGCACACATTTTTATCGTTTGGTTTGGTTTGGTATGGTTTAATTCAGTTCGTCTCGTCTGACAACGAAAATGTACGCGTATTCAGGGAGCCGAAGATACCATCGACGGAACCGTTGCTAGGCCAGAAAAGCGTGACCACGTGCCAACCAAGCGCAATTCTGCTCATCAGTGGCGTTCAAAACGCGTGTCAACCAGTTACAGAACCAGGAATACTACATCAGGACACTGGCCACAACATGAGCGCTAGCAGGTCATCATCTGTCAGATCCATTCTCCCGCAGAAGGACGAGAAACATGCTTTGGAAATGGTGTCCTGCAAAGAAGCAGATACCGCGCTGGTGATGAGATTTGACAAGTTGGAACTGCCCATCCGACCCGCAGCCTCTGGGTCGTCAGCTCGTGCCCGATTGATACGTTTACAGAACTGTGGATTGAGAAGAGAGCGTGGATGGAGGAGGGGAGCAGTTGTTGGAAGTGTACGCTTAGCGTCTCACTCGCTTTTGGATACTGTGAGTCCTGCAATGTAGAAGTGAAGTTGGCATTGCCCTTTGCCAGACAGACTGAGCGTTTTACGGCAATCTCAAAAGCACGCTCAGTTCTGAAATGATGGATAGACATGGCATCAATCTCACATTCCCATAGCCCAGAGAAAAGACATGTGTGCCCATGTGCAACCCCAGAAAGGCACAGTTAAATAACTGCTTGGGGAAATTCAACAAGAGGCAGAGCGCGAAGGATCACTCCTTGTTGATTTGCATTATTCGGAAATGTGCACCTTGAGATTGGGGAATGATTCAAATGCAGATGTTACGTTGAGGGGGGTAGACAACCAACGTTGTCATTCAATCCGCAGTGTACAGATCTGTTGTCCGTGTTTCAAGAACGAAATATGACTGATTCTACTTACTGAAGGGCCATTCAAGAGCACAGTGGGCGTTACGACAATTATCATGTAGGTCTTGTGAGATGACCCTGACAAAGCGTGTAAGGTCGCAAAGCCAGAGGTCAAAAGAGGCATGGGAAGTCCTGTCGAACGTTCATTCTTCTGCATCGCTCGCTTCCAAGCACCTCGAGATTGATTAGCTCGAGGTGCAGGTAGAAGCGCTTAGGGATGGTCGGTGGACAGCTCGGCAACGCCTCGAGTCCAAACTCGTCTGTCCACGATGAACCGTAGTCTACGAATTCGTCTCTAACGCTTATCGGTGAGCTTCCCCGTTCTGTGCATAGTGTGGGCAATCGAAAGGATGAGATCAGAGTAGAGCGAAGGTCTTATGGGCATGTTTAGTCATCCATGTTAAAGCTATAAACGCCACGTCAGAAGACTTATGGCTTCGTCCTACACTATCTTGACGAACTGTTTACGAAAGGACGAACGCTATTCAGTGATCCCAAAAAGCTCACTGTTTAGAGCACCTGGGAGATAAAATGGGCAACGGCGCTCAGAGCATTTCTTTCTTTTTCTGCATTCCTCGCAAAGCTCGCAGCATGAGATTGATGAACTCATGAACAGGTGTGATCGTGAGTATGGGAGTAGTGACACCATGACCGGAAGTAAAAAAATTGTCACGTGCCCACTATGATCCGTAGTCTACGAGATCATCCTCTTAGTACAAAGGGCATGGTGCGCATAGCATTGTGGTGGTAGGAAGCAAGAAGGAAAGGTGAAGGAAGTTTTGCATAGTTCATAACTAGTCATTCTGAAGCTGTGAAAACTCCCCAATGGATAATGAAATGTCCGCATACTTGCCCCAGTCACTCCAGCCAATCGGGTGACTGGAAGTCAAATAGTCGCGCCGCCAAACGCCATGTTGTATCAGTCTGCGTATCTCATGACCGCGCACTTTGAGAGAGGTTGAACCTCAAAGGCCAGGATAGTCATGAGAACGTTCCAACGCTAGTGCCTGCGAACATATATGCTCAAGATGACTCGTAGTCTACGAAGACACTTGAAGCATAGGTGTGGTAACGACGTGTTATGAAGGATTTGATCGTGTAGTGCGTTGCATTGTAAATTTTGAAGAAAGAAAGAAAGAAAGAAAGAAAGGGGCCGAGGAGGAAGGGATTTTGCGTTAATCGGCATTTGATTCTGCTTAGTCACCATGGCAATGTCCGCCAAGCCAAGAATGGCATTGCGTCATGCTGGAGCTTCCTCGGAGCCGGATAGCGGGCATGGGTGCTTCTCCGACCAACATCCCATCTTTTTCTGGGCCAATTGACCTACAACTCAGCGCTCTGTAGCTTGCCCGAGCTATTGTCGACATCCTTATTCTCCCCTCTTCCTTTTCTACGGCCTAGCGACTATGAAGATTCTTACAAAGGAAGAGGAGCAAGCTCACTACAAGTAGGCCCCCTTCAACATCACCTTCCCTCCAACATCGCTAACGATTGCAGTGAGACGCTCAAGGGTGGTGCTCTTGGTGGTACCGTCGGACTAGCTCTCGGCGTTGGAGGAGTCTTCGCAGCCGCAGCACGATACCCTGCCTTTCGACAATTGACCCTCCCTCTCCGAGCCTTCTTATGTACATCGAGCGCTACATTTGGCGGTGCGTGCGTCTCATCCAATCTCCCTTCTCTGCGTTGTGTGAACTACAGAGATACTGCAATGCTATCTACATACGGGCTCGCAAGGCGTCTCAGTGCCTTAAGCGAGCGATCCTACTTTAATCTTCTCCCCCTTCAATGATCTACACACCCACTAACATGTGCTCCTCTTACAGCAATCGTAACAGCCGACCGATTCTCCCGCTCCTTCGAAGCCTCCCGCCACCCCGATGAAGGCTACCAAGATGAGGCGGCCCGCATGCGCGCCGAACAAGAAGCCAAAAAGTCATCCTTCGAGCGCTTCATGGATTTGGGCAAAGAATACCGCTATCCCATCGTCGGCACGTCATGGGTCTTAGGCATGGGTATCGCGCTAGGCGTGGTCGGTCGATCACCATATCTGTCGACGCAGCAGAAAATAGTGCAGGCCAGGGTGTACGCGCAGACGATAACGATAGCGGTGCTGTGCGCTACGGCGGTGTTTGAAGTGGGTGATAGGGGGAAAGGGGAGGGGAGATGGGAGACGGTGAAGATTGTGGATCCGAATGATCCTACGCATAAGCATCTTATCGATAAAAAGATTCATCATGAGAGATATGAAGGGGAGGACCAATGGAGAGGTGGGTTTTCCATGCTGCTTGTGGGCTTGGGGGTAGTTACGAAGTGCGATTCACGGCTGACTTGTGATCAGATATGGTTGAGGTAGAGGAAAGGAAGATGAAAGAGAGGGAAGCGGCAGCGCATGAGCAGGATAAGCAGCATCACAAACAGCATGCGAAGAAGAAGCCGGAGCACGAGGAGGAGAAGAATAATGAGAAGAAAGGAGGCGGAGACAAGAAGTGATGAAGTGGGCTCGATGCTTGGAGTCAGGGTCACCGTTGGACCCCACGTCCCGCAAATATATATGCGACATTCCTCGTCATCTGCTAATCGAATTCCAGCGAAGAGGCACTCATGTACATACAGCTTGGGTCCAGGCAAGTCTCATAGGAAAGCCGAACAGCGGAGAAGTGGTTTGGGAAACTTTATTGGCTTTGTACCTATCAACATGCAACAGTCCCCTTCAGCACAATCCTATTGCACTTTACCACGCAACCCGCTTTTTCAGATAAAGTTGAGCATCAATCCCAGCAAATCTCGTACGGTTCCAACCCTCATAGCTAGCGCATTGGAGAACCCCTGTCCCAAAGCCGTCTTCCGCCGATTTCGGTCCAAGCAAGTACACCTCACTGATCACGGAGCATCCTCCGAAGCACCTCGTCCCAGCTCCCCGCATGCACGCCCTTGATTCCTCTCATTCTTCGTCACCGGACAGGTAGGCTTGGTGTGGGATGTGATACCGCAAGCACAATTCCGCTCGCATAGTCAGCGGACATCTATCCGAACTAGGGGTTCTGAGTGAGCGTGCCGTCTCCCGCACACTGGGTTTTGATTCACCTACGGGTTTGTAGCTGAGGATTGAGCTTAGCTTCGAGAGATGTGATGAAAGATGAAAAGTGAGGTTATATTTACCAGCCTGAGTTACGTTGATATTCCGAAAACTTTTCCATCACTCGTTCATGGGCGAATTTGCTCGAATCCTGTACACCACCTTCACAAGCACTAACAACTAGCAAGGACAATAATGATATTCCCCTTGAACACGCTACCTGAAGGGGATGTTTCTGGAGAGTATATTTGCAATTTGGAAGTCACTGCAACGGTTACTTGTCATACAATGGTCTGTAATGGGGCCTTGCTTCCTCTCTTGGTGCCTGCTTCAGATAGATTGCAGATTCAGCACGATGTTGTAAATTCCATTTGTATGCTACTTCATTGCGTTCCAACTTTGACATAGCCTCTGAGACCTCAAGTCTCCTTGACGTACCACAGATAGTTCTACCCCTTCGGATTTCACAGCAGTTCGATCAAGGCCACGGACATCATTCCTCAAAAAGAAAGGAAAGACGGAGTACAGCAGTCAAAAAGCCTGCATGCCACCACCTGTCACTTCGCATGTCAAGATATCGGCCAACGTGGCGCCTGGCAAATACTTGGGGGGCTTTCCAGACACCTCCGGCAGCAA